GACTGCAGTGCCATCTGCCGGGCTGATTTGTGAATCTAAACCATTCCCAGATCCCCTTGAACACACACAAAAAATTTCATCAAAATCGGTCCAGTCGTTTGAGAGAAGTTCAGTCACATACACACGCACACAAGAAATATATATATTAAGATATAATTGAGATTTTTTAAAGTATCATCCCACTGTCATCTTTTATATCTGGTTTTTATCTCTTCAATTTGTAAAGAAACACGGTCATGAATAAAACAGAGGTGATTATTAAATCGGATCCCATGACGAGGTGGTGGCTGGTTTTTGCGATCCCAAGTTCAGAATTACTGATGAGGCGCGGGTGACCGGCCAACGAACTACACTCGACGTGCGCACTCGGCGTTTGACCTCACTTCTACTTGAATACTTCTTGTACTGCAGATTTTGTCTTCACGAGGTTCCAGAAATATATAAAATGTAATCGTGTTTACTAATGACCTAAAAAAATACAAATACACAAAATATGAGTTGAGATGTTATTTAATAAATATTATATTTGCTTTATTTTGTTTGATACTGTTTAGCCAAAACATACGTTGATTTAGTAATCGGGTACCTGTTCAAAATGTTTTCATACTAAATTTGTGTAATCTTATTGAAATAGTTAAAATAATAAGTGTAGGTACGTTTTATACAATAAAAATTTAAAGCAAAATACAATATTTTACATAGTTGATGACGCGGTAATAGCTATATAAACGAAAAATGTTAAAACGTCCCAGAATATGTTGTAAAATGTACCATGATCATTTTTTTTTATTATAAAATTGACAATGTTTTTGTATTAATTATAGATCTGCTTAACGATATCAAGGTTCCCGGAATGGGGTTATGAGTTCGGTATTTATAGAAATGGCATTGGTAAATCAAATTATATATCCTTTTTTTAAATCAGTTAGTACCTTCAATGTAATTTTCCATCATTATAAAGATGTTCTTTGATTGTAAATTTATTTCTATTATCAATGTTGTCTTGTACACATCGTCTGTGAGTATTTTATATCATATAAATCATATATTATGTTTATGTTAAGTTAGCAAAGTATCTCAACAGATCGCAAAACAAGCATGAAGTCGTCGGCCGCGGCCAAGGCCCACACGGTCAGGGACGCGCTATCTAACCGGCGACCGTATACACGACACTCTATGTAGTAGCATTCTTAGGTAGTTTATTTTTGGTATTAGGTACTGTACACTCTTTAAATACTGTATTAACATAAATGTTAACTCATTTGGTGTTTAGATATTAGTTGAACATCTTAGTTTTGAAACTATTGCCACGTGACATTTCCTTTATAAATTGTTATTTATTCATATTTCAATAGAGACTGTAAACTGTCACGTTGAACACATTTTTTTTGAAATAGCTATCCAAGCTATAGGGCTTTAATTTAAATGATTTGTATTTCAAAGATACAAAACAGTAATGGGTGTAAATTAACACAACTGTACGTACAACAACTGATCAAGATGGGCTTGGTCAATGTATCGTGTGTGCGACTAGTCTAACTGGATTACAATTACAATGCGCCTTAGAAACTTATACTTTATAATGTATACCTTCTTTGGTGCTAAGGCACAACAGGAACTTTGTGGTTTTCATTATACCTTTACATCAATGATGACTTGAGATCTCAGTCTCTTGGTTTAATTGAACTTATAAAGACTAACAGTAACGAATAAATAAGTTAAATTAAATTTTCCTATTACCTATATAGCCATTACGCATCAATGTTTTCAAATCTCTTTATAATCTTTTAGATCTATAGCGTTTCTATTCTAGAACAGTTTAAGAGGAAGTCTCTGTTCCAAGCTATGGAAAATGAAATCTATTTTAGAGTAAAGCTTTTTTGATAAAATAATTTATTAAATGTTTAAAAATTCTATGTAGTATACTTTGCTGAAAAATATTTGTATAACCCTTAAGCCGGGCGCATACATACTGATTCGGATCAGGTTTCCGTATCAGGGTTTCAGATTCGGAAACCTGAATGGTCCGCGGCATACAAAATGTTCGACAAGGCGCACACCGTTCTTACTTTTTCCGGACAGAAAAAACCTGAGTTGGTTCGGAATTTCTCGCGTTCGTTTGGAAGAACGGAAAAAACCTGATGACGTCACCCCGAACGCAGCATTCGCATACATTTTGGCTCGATCGCCGCACACGTACGGAAATTTTCATTCAGAATCGCGTTGGCGCCGCGCTGTGCCGAGGAGACGTACGACGTGTAACACTCTCCTGTTTTTTATTTTATCTCGTATGAAGCTCATCAAAGGATTTCATTGACATCCTGTAATATTTGAAGAATTCTTCTGGGTATGCCCGTAACTTGCCCCTTTGACATAGAATTGACTCTCAGTTAATCTTTGGGTATTAGTGGATGACCCAATAACGACGTTTTATTCCCTTTTTGTCTAGCGCCAATAAAAGAGCAATGAGCATCAATTCGTTGTTATACTGTGCGATCAGAAGCGTCTATGATCGAACTGATCGTTTAAATTCCGAATGAAAAAACAGAATGTTGGTCTCACATGGAATTCTTGATTAGGAAACCTATCAGATTGATAGGAATAGGGTTAAACATAGCATATTGTGCTGAATCATATTGTAAAAACTTTGTGTTTGTAACTGGTTAGTTCCACTACCATGAACTATTACATAGTTTCTCATTAACTAACGAAACAGTTTAGGTTATAGACAAAATACATTCAAAACCGTTTACGACGACATCGTTTAGAACAACATACCGGTTATATTGACCAAAATCAAAGGTTCCGACTGAATTCTATAGTATTAGGTACTTAATAACAACGTTTATTACAAACAAATATTAATAGTCCCTTCGATGTCGTCTTGACAGATTTTGTAAATGCTTGTAACTTTATATCGTTCAGGCTTTGTATAGCTAAAACACAACTCGTGTAATAAGAAGCTAAGAAGCCGCATCGCTGTCACAAGACCGCCTTGTCGCTGCAGACTTGGACATTGTATAGTGTTATTACGTCGCATGAGTAAATGCATATTGTCTGTATGTATGTCGGGTTACGGAAACGAGGTGCGGCGGCTTCTCCCGTCTGGCCCCACACCACCCTGTCTGCATTCACCTACACCACCCCCGTAATTCACTCTCACTAACCCACTGCAGCACAGTCAATCATGCATATCACGTCTAATTCAAGGCAAGGCTTATTACGACTCGGCTATGGTAATCTAGTCAAGATTATGATAACTTTATTGTTTGGTACTTAAATGCGGATGCATAATTAAACGCTTAATTCTTGTATACGATTATTTAATATTAATTGTTGTTTATAAAATATATTTTTAACCGACATCGAAGGTGTTAATTCAACGTTTATGTTTTTTGGCACCAACATCCAATAAGACACAACAGATCCAACAACAACCAGATCTTCATGCTCTTGTATATAAATAAAGTAATCTATACTTAATATATTAAAATTGTGTGATTACGTGAACGTAAGACCAACTCAACTAGGAAATGTTATTATTTTATATTTTTTGTACATTTGAAGTCAGTTATATTTTTAAAGCAAATTATTTTAACAAATACCAATGTGCCATTTATACAATTATATTATTTAGCTAAATATTGAATTAAAGTGAATATAAAGTTAAATTTATTGGTTTGAAAATCACCAAAGCTTGCAATTATCCCTACACCGTCCCATTTCTTAAAGCTTTTTGTTATACGTATACGACATCGGCCAAAAGCGTAGATGCATTCGGTTTTTATAATGTCTGCAAGTCTTTGGTGAAAGCGGCAGGGTGGTATGGGTAGCGGGGTGCGGGGTCCAGAGCGGGGAAGTGCCCCCACGTCTAGACTGGGTCGGTAGTTTTCCGGGATTCAGCCGGCTTTGACTGCAGTCTGCTCACCCACTCACTGCACAGACATACTTATAGATACACACAGTATAGCACTGTCTGAGGACCCTCGTCGCATCAGACGCAGTTTTTGTATTACTTTTTCTTTATGTAGACAGATAGAACATTCAGGGCGAAATGAATGCTCTTGTCTGGAGCGGATCCTTAGAGTGACGAACAAAAAGGATGCTTCTGCGAGATATTTGCTCACTATTAACTGTAGCTACGTGTACACAGCGTATTTCCGCTTGACAGTGAGACTTAATTCAGGGTTACATTCAAAGTCAATAGAACGTTTACATAACAATTTTGCTTCCTTTTTTTAATTCATGCATCTGGCAACTGATCTTAATTCTTTGATACATATTAAGAAGATTTATGAGGAAAATAAGGTAAAAATTGGCTTTCAACCGACGGATGTCGTGGAATCGGTGTTTGTTATCAAGCAAACAATATGTTGAAAGTTCATTAAATAGACAAGTCCGTGAACTTGTAACAATAGGCCGTTTCCCTCTATAAGCCTTTGTGCATGATACCTGCATCTATTAATTTGAAACTGAGAACTATACAGTTTAACAATACATTGGCGTTAATTATGACACCAAAAAACTACTTTTTAATATTTATAAATACTTGCCACCTTCTGCAATAAGTGATGGAATTTTTTTGTCAAATTGTTAAGCTCAAACGTCGGAAATTACATGGTTTAATCTTATGCTGATTAGAAGGCCTTCAAAAGTATTTAATAGTTTTATTATTTACGGAACCTTCAGTATATTATCGATTGCGTTATAGAAGGATTGCAATTATCTTTTATACGCAGCATGGTTCAAACTTATTTCACAATTATTGCGAAATTAGTTCTGCAGTGCGGTTTCGTAATTTCTCTAAAAAATGTAACTAATAAACTAAGCAGATTAATTACTGCTTTATTATTAATAAATATAAAAAGCGTAAAAGAAAATAGCCAACGAATTATCACTCTTGAGAAATATAGAAATATTTGATTAATGAAAATAGCATGGCGTCGTTCGTTTTACGTCGTCAGAGAGCAGACGAATTACGTTCTCGAAATAGTTTGAAGCTAATTGTATTTCACAACAGTTTGAAGGGTCTTGTCGGTATATTTAGCATGGCACAGCGGGACGGGGCTGACACGGAAGCGTAGGGCGGGCGGAGGGCGTTGACCGTGAACGTGGGGCGGCATCGATCGACACCTATACCATACCCTCGCGCAACGCGCCTTCTATAATCACGTGTCTTGATACGCATAAGGTTATAATGATTACCGGAAAATTACGTACTTGTATGTAATGCAATGCAACTTGGCGATGACAAACTAAAAACTTGGCTTGGTTAATCAGTAAATAATACCCAGAAATAGGTCCCAAAGAAATAATTTATATGACATTTAATTATTTTACCAAATATAGAATTTGCACTTTCATAACGCAAAAACTAAGAAGTAATTTAGAATTATTATATTATATATTGCATTTTTCGTTATGTTCTTCTCAGTATAGAAGGATGAAATTGTTTCCCTAGCCAATATTTGTGTATCTTTGAATTGGCATCTCCTTTAACCCTCTTCGTTTCTCCCTTAATCCTCGCGATACGTTTCCGAAATTAAAGTAACTGGGGTTCCTTGGTCATGAGGGTAGTACGGTCGTCCCCTAAATCTTTCCCTAAGAAAACTTCCAGTCATAGGTAATAATTGTGTCAGGATATTTTATCATACGTCAGTTCTCTGAAACTATTATGCAATCGTTGGTACTATACTAGTATTAAATGCTCAATTACAACGGGGTGATACTTCTCGACCTCGTCACGCTGCAGTTATTTTTCCGCGTGATTTGCTATCATTTATAATCGTAACATTTAATTTACCCTATACATTAAGAAAATCAAGACTAAAATGTAGGTATGTCTAAATCAAAAGGATTTTAGAATGGTAGTCCTTTGAAAATATTTATAGGTTCTGTTTGTTAAATTCCATGATTTGGTTAGTATTAAAACGTGGTTTTTAAGCAGTCATAATAGTTGAACTAAATGACCTAGTTATTTGCATTTCAAAGTCTATTTTTATCGTTCAATGTTTCTCATAACCTTGCTTGCGTAACACGGAAACAAATTTAAAATCCAATGTCGAACGTATCTCATTCAATGTGCCAGCAGTTGCTTTGAGATTTTTTCTTAATAAATCCATAACAGAATTGTAATTTACAACACAACAGGATACTCAAGAATAGTTTCACCGGTAATCGAATCTAGGACCATGCACCATATGCGTTACTAATGAATCTACGAAGCGGTATTTTTCATTACACCGATCAAATCAGACATTTCATTTAAATATAAGTGAATAAATAAAAAAATAAAATAAAATAAATATAGAAGTCGCAACAGGTTAATCCCACTGAGCCATGTGAATAAATAACTAAAGAAATAGAGGATTAGTTAATGAATACATCAAAAGTCAAAAAAATTACCTACTGAATTCATGTCATACCATAATTACTATTAACCTACGTAATTGCCATAGTGCAAATCCTGGAGGAAATACCCAAAACCTTGTCATTCAAGATAAAACGAGAACACAAACTAGTTTATAAAACCGTGAATATGACGAAATGTATGTCCCTATCTTATCGACGATATAAAGCAAGTCGTCTTAAAATCAATATTATATTGTGTACCAATACCCGGCTTTCCCAATGCGCTGTACGCAGAGGCACAACAGATTCCTTATAGACAGGATGGGTGGTAAGGTGCAGCAGGCCGTAGGGTGGTGAGGCAGGGGGCCATGAATGTCGGGCAAGGGCGGCGTGAGTCACGGCCGCGATCAATACTGCACTACGCGGAAATGCGTGGCCGCGCCCGCCAGCAGGCATTCCATTGCATTTCGAATAGCACCAAATTTTAAACGCAATTACAGTATTACCACAATACTTAAATTTTAGAATTAAATTGAAGTTGTATTTAACATTTATTTTGTTGAACGTGTAATTAAATTAAATTAGAAGATTTTATACAAGATTTATAGAAAATTCATATTTAACAAAAATTCTTATTGATTACTTATATATCAGTTCTCTAGGTAATTTAATTGAACATTAGGGAATAATATTGTAATGATATTAAGATATGGGTTAAATGAAAGTACAGTTTTAACAAGGTTCCAAAAAAAGGTTTTGAAAGAATAAACAGGTAGTAAATAGTTTAAAACAATAATTCAAATATGCAAATATATTAAACCTGATATCAACAAATAAAATATAGATATGCTAACCTCAATTCTCAGTTTTAGCATAAATATAATATTGATTTAATTTTATGGAAATAGATATTGTGTTCACAGCTTTTGTGACCATCAAAATGCCTGCAAGCCTTAATTTTCATTTTGTGCATCAAAATACACCTTAATGTAAGGCAATATTAACGTGTATACAATTTACGAGAATTTAAAGTTATACTGGAACAAACAGCGGTCAGAGTAGAGTAAAAACCTCCTGTACTTAATTGAACGTCCATTTTGACATATAAAAGTAGGATATGGGAAAGTAACTGCATGAGAATTGGAGATAGAAATGGTTTATATGATACTTAATATAAACACATTATATAAAGTTCTGAACCGATATCCGTATTGAAGGTCGCGAATTACAAAATTTGGATTGCAATATAAAGGTTTTATTTTTGTTTTTCCTATAGTGATTAGAAATGAAAATATGTAGGAAACAAATAACTGTAAAAAAAATGTTTTGGTTTCTTCTCACTTATCACCCTAAAACGCCTAATACTGGTCAAATCACCATTAAATTCATATCTCAAATTCAAGTTTCTCATCCACAAGATTTAAAAATCTTTGTCGAAGTTCACATTTACTACGGTCTAACCAATTGCAACAACTTTTTTTAGATTCTTCCCTCATTTAGTTTTATAAACAATAAAAATATAACCCGAATAAACATCTAATGACAAACAACTTAAACAATTTTTTAAAGATACTGGAAGGAACTAGCGTTTAAGATACAGGCTAGGCCTAGTTTAAACGCTAGTGCACATAGAATTATTTTATGTACGAGGTTAACCAAAATTAATAGTGAGAACACAACGATTCGTTGCATATTGTATGTTTATAACCTTTAGAATGTAAGTACAAAATGTAATTGTTTTTTTTTTTCGTCAAATAAAGTGATTTTTATTTATTTATTATTGTACTAAGCATTTACTAAATGACAAGCAGGCCACATAAATCAAACATAAAAAAGCACAATTTCGACAAGCAATTTGCATTGGTAAAATAGCAATCCGATCATGAGAACTAAACGCAATAAGTGGGATTATAAATAAATATGTTTTGTAACCTCCAGTCGACTTTCCGACTATCGTCCGGAACATATACACGACTGACCTACAAATGGCCGTATATAAAGATTCTTTTTCCGTCTTCTTCCTACCTCAATGTAATAGCCATGTGCGGTTGAGATAGCATCACTTGTTACGATGACGAGCCTCTGTTCTCAATGTCAAGTTCACCTATTATTATTAGTTCTCAATGCCACAAAACATACGTAACTCTCTGCATATATTTACTTATGTATTTTTTCTGATAGACTGGATAATATATATACAACCATAATATATTATGGTTACTTACACTAGGCAGTATCATCATTATACACAGAATCCAAGATTCTGTGTTCACTGACAAAAGTTTTATAATGACACATTTTAATTTACAATGTAGATTAACTGTTTACAAAAGGTTAAATTATATTTAGACGACGTTTATTTAACAAAAAACGCAAAACATTTCAAAATTTAATAAAATGTCGTGTACGAGTGTTTACTAATAAATTTATTTATTTATTTCATTATAAGTAATAATGATATATATGAGTTTTTAAATGTTTATTTGATCCAGTTTAATGTTATACATAATTCCTACAAATTACAATAGTAAATACACTGTAAATTAACTGAATAAAGCGTTCTCTGTTGGAATTAAAGTGAATGTCTACAACACAAGCAAAAAGAAGCCTTCCTAGTTCTGAAAAATTAGGTAAGATGGCGCTCGTTACATTCAATTTCACCTAAACGGTATTTGGCTTATACTAACTAGATGGAGCTACCTGTATATTTAGCTTAAGACAAACCAAAAATAAAATGGAAATTATAACTTTTAATACATTTTATATACTTAATAGAATAACTTTGACTGTGTAGTAGATTATTGCTACCTTTACTAATACGTATTCTAAAATAACTTTCTGTTGACTAAAAGCATAAGTCACTTTTATATCCCGTATATCTCTATTATATCTTCTTATTAATTTTTATTGAATATTTTTTATTAGGTATTTTACTAGCCCTGATATAATGAGTGAGCCGCTGGCGACCTGTGACGCACGCACACGCGGTCGTCGGCCCCTTTCAGAAAAAAATACGTTCTTGACTCAGTTTGTTTATTGCATGCTTACTCGCTTTTACGTCAGTTGTTATTTACATTTATGATGCTTTTAGTACTGGATCGCGATGCGCAAATTGTTAGTATTAATGAATGGACATCCTATATGAGTTTGAATTGGTTTTAAGCTGTATAATTTAGAGACAATAAAGGACATCGCCAATTTTTATTAGTCTTTAAAGTCCAGCACGGATTTAATTAAAATTAAAAGAATGCTAAAAAAATATACTCTTCAAGTGGAACAGATTTTTAACTAAAATTATATTCAGTTCTGCTACCCGACAAGAGATGGCGCTGAGGTATCTATACGCGTTCATACTAGGTTGTTGATTGTGGAGTTAAATTTATTTGTTTAATTACAACAGCTTAGTGAATACGCTAATATTGATTATTCTATGGTAAACCCCCTTAAAAACTAAGGGGACATACTTTTATTATGCATAATAATAACAGAAGTTAAACATTTTAAAATTTTTAGATATTATCTACTTTGTTTATGATTATCAAAAAAAAATTGATTTATGTTCTTATTTGAATATAAATAGAGAGCATAATTCTAATTACCACGAGAACTGAAAATAAGAAAGGATTCAACAGTCGCTTGTGTTCGGTATTTTATTGTCTAAAGGTTATTTTATCAAAGACCTTCGCGTTTTATCGATAGAGCTGTGTAATAAAATAAAGTAGTTCGTCGGAGAAGGGCGATATCGTAACTATAAACTATAGTTAGCGATAGCCGAGTCACGGTGCAGCCTTGCAGAGTTTATTGCTCCGACGCGGCGCGGTAAGGGGAAACCTTCGGTAAAGGACCTGCATCGCTTGCATGCCAACATCTATTAGCAAATAGTAGGTATGTACAGCGTGCTAGAAAATAGACATTCGGATTATTCTAGAACTCACATTTGTCAATATCTAAACTACTAACTAGTTAACTGTTGTTTGTCAATTAAATGTAATATATAAATCTGAAACTTAACTAGAAAAAGCGTTTATTGTAACTTTCCAATTCCTATTTTGAAATTCCGGTTTCGTTTTGCAATAATTAGAGTAGACGATTTTATAGTTATAGAATTTAAAACTAAGGATAATACCTGAGATAGCGACGAAAGTATTTTTTTTAATATCTATAATAGTTTTAATCTATATACACCGAGACGTCTCTCTGTGCCGTGTAAAGATAAGCCCTGCATTCAATAGTAAGATAATTATTAACAATCGAACATCGCTCGTTCTTGATGAAGTTTATTGTTCTGATTATAGGTTGTTTACTTTTGCAACTCGTATGCATTGAGTATCACTAACCGACTGATACATAATATTTCGCTTTGTACATCATTACCTAAGCGCGATGTAAATAAACATTTTGTTGTGATTTACAAAGCATTTTAACAAATTGATTGATCGCTTTTTATAAAGTTATTTATAATTGAAATTGACACTATAAATTGTAGTGTTGAAACATTAATTTTATCTTTTCGATACATATTTTAATCTCGTGTATATAATTCACCCATAACTTACATCTAGATCGACCAAGACAGCGCCAAGGAAATACTTAATGTTACCTACAAATACTACCTTTCTAATTGAAATACCTCTTTTGTTTACTAAGCATTGGCTTTATATAGTCAAATATACTATTAATACAAGTTTCAAAGAAATCATTGTGCATAGTATAAAGAAGCTCACACGAGGACATCTCCACACACCTTATTATGTAGTGACCTATTTAACACACAATGAACTCTTCATTTATTCTATAATCCTTTTATATGACTAATATGATGTTCAAACTAAATTTTCCTGTTATGTTTATATTTATTAACACCATTAATTAGTGATTTCATAAGACAGAAGACGCGCTCATAAACAAAATCTAACCTTGGCGTTCTATGTTCGGTGGTTCAGCAAGCACATAGGCGCATATGACTTATAAATGGGGTAAGTTTAATGAGTTAAAACCGTAATATATGTTACATAATATACAATCGAAAAATATGTGATGTGTGTCAAAGCGGTTCGGCTCTCACGGGGGCGATAATTGCGAAGGTCGTGTCGCAGCTGGAACTATCGTCACATAGCCAGCTCCTTGGTATCAATGCTTAGTTGGTTAATATCGATATAGCCTGTTCATACAATATAGTGGCGTAATTGGTGTGTGATAGAGCGCAATTCTGCGTAACAGCCGCACGCGGTCGGTGGCCTTACCTCGTTAGAGTTCATGCACCCGCGCGAAACTAGGGCACGTACCTCGTGCTCCCGGCTCCCCTCAACCCTGCCCGATGCCCCTTTGTCCTGTTACCTACCACCAGCATTTATTAAACGATGATTGTCTTTCTTCCAAAAATTAAAAAGCTACTATTACTATGCCACACCTTACACATAGAATTTTTGTAAATATTTGAATAAACTTATCTTAAT